TTACATTTATGTTTTCCTTCACTGCTATCTGTTGCGATATGATGTCGCAGACTGCTTGCATGTTTCGGTCTACTACCGCGCACCTTACATTCGTATCTTTTCCTTCGTATGTTCACTCTCATGATCTCGCGGATATCCTACACATCTGAATTGCTTATCGCACATAGTAGCTAAAGATTCCTGATTGCGATCTGTTTCATCTGAGCTCGATTGCGTGGCAGAATTTTTTTGCTTCAAGTAATTGGCTAACCTTACTTTCACTGGCATTTGTCTTTGATCCGATTCCTGAAATAACCAAAATAATTGTTTTATAAATTTAATAATTATTTTCTTGAGATTTTTTAACAGTAACAATCGCACATATCATTTTTCGAATAGCTATACTTTATCATTTGGTTTTACTGCATTTTAAGAGCATTCACTAATTACAATAATATTTTTTAAAAAAAGTGTCAATGTTGCTACTTTTTGCTATTGTTTGAGAAGAAAGGATTAACAAATCGCTGTCACAAAAATGATTCGAGAATTCAATGATTTCCTACACTGAAAGCAATATGTTATTCACATACCGTTACTTGCAAACACTGCGAAATAATATGGTAGCAGCATAATCGAACAACTTGCACGCACCAACCGACGAAGTAAAATTCGTCACATTAACAGAAAAAATCGTTCTTATACATTTCGATAAATCGTCCGATCAATGATTTAATCTTTTTGCATAATGTTTTTGACTCTACACAGGAAAATAATAATTTTATGCAAATGCGCTCATAACCGACAGCACAGTTTAGAATTGTCACTAACATTTTCAACTGGAAAATATGAAAACCAAAGTATAAAAAAATGATATGTAATTTTATCACCAAAAAACAATGCACTGTTATTAAAAAAAATGAATTGGTTTAAAATTATAAAAATATAAACTGACTTAATCGACATTTGGAACTCTATCTATTTTAGGAAAGATGTAGAATCAAAATCCAAAATTATTCTCCAAAAAACTTGTTTTTTGCAAAAATTTGTCAAAAAATACTTTCTTTAACAAAGTTTTTAAGTTTTCCTTTATATATAATACATTTGAAGTAAACAATAGGAATTTGCAAATTCTTAGCGGTTAACATTTACAATGTATATAAAATGTAAAAATGGATTAAATAAAGGTTGAACTTTACAGGAATGGCAGAATTTCTCGGTTGCAAAAATGTTGGATATCGTTGATTTCTAATTTAAACTAATTTCCCGGTTTATACTTGATCAATTGATAACAGCAGCAATACTTGATTTTCACTAACCATCGAAGATCATTTTTCTCATCATGAATAGCTGACTGCATCACTGTTACGGTGGATAGCATTTTCTTCCTCTTTTTTTTTGGAATGAAACCTGTAACAACTTGCACTATTTCACAATCGTAGAATGAATGCATAAAAAAACTTAATACGTTTATGTACATACTTTTTTGTTAAGAGAGAAAATTTACTTCTTTTGTTCATATTTAAGGGATATGATCGGGAAAATCCGAAATTTTGTGATACAAAATTATTCACATGAATAGAGATAACTGATTTTTAGGCCCTCCAAAACCTTCGTCAGAGTTAAATTTAATTTTGTGTTGCTCGAATGTCATTCATAGTTATTGACCATCAACATTTCCCGCCATTGAATGTTCTCTGTCTTTCTTTTTATCTATGACAACAAATGTAGCTAACGAGTAATCAAACAATCTCCTTCTTTCCTATCGCCTCTCTCTTTCTCTTCGTCACATCATATTGCCTAACCATGAGATTATCTCTCATGCATCTCTCGCATGATCTTTTCTCAATTATCACACCTATCTCTAATAGTCTTTATTGATTTATTATAAATCTAAATGACGTCGTGGTACCGATCAACGTTGCGTGCATACAGTTACGTTGGATACTGTATACTGTTGCGGATTTGGGGGATTGTCTCGGGTTTGGTTATTTTTTTTTTATTGGTTCAGAATTTTGGATTTGATGCAGTGGAAAGAGATTTTCTTTCAACATTATAAACCAAAAGATTTCTTAAGATTCTTTATTATTAACAAATACAGTGAATAATATAACAGTCGAGACGAAATGAAGCATAGTTAAGATCAGCCTAGTGAGGAACTGAGGAATTGCTGATGTATGATAATAGCGCCTTTTAAAGGCTGATTATTGGGAGGTGTTAGGTTAGCCTATTGGAAGAAAAAAAAAGATACAAAACGGTTTTTATGATAGGAAAGTGTTGCTTTTAGAAAACACTGAAAGATTCGTTTACATTGATTACAAGTAATGATTCATTAAGGAATTTTAATGAGCGTCGACGAGATTTATTTAGAGATTAATTTCGAGATCTTTCTACGAAAAGAATTATGAAGCTAGAATAAGATGAAAGGATTTAATGAAATTACAAAAATAGGATGTGAGGCACAATATGCTAATGAACATCTGAAGAGATTGCACAAGTTAGTTGCAAGATATATGTTAATGAGTGTCGTGAATGGAATTTCGAGTTTGTATTCGACATATAACCTGCAAATCATTTGGAACTCTCGCCAAAATAACCTTTTTTCGGAAAAAGCGACTCGATTAAGTCTTCACGAATCAGTTGTCAGTAATCGGAGTAGTCATCATCGTTTATTGTTAATATTCTCAATTTACTTTCGAATAAACTCATTCAATTGCAGTTGTCATGAATACCAATCTGCTCTCCCGAAAAATAATATTTTTCACGACAGGAACAGTTTTACTGAAATTCTGACTGCATTTGAATATTTGAGTTTTACAAAATTCTGGCTGTACTTGAGTTTTAATATTGAATTTTTAATACATTTACCTTTAGTGATATTCCCTCATTCTTTCTACATGTTAGATTTTCTCCTATGTATTTGACAATTTTTATTATGACAAAATTCATTTAATTTATAATAGTTGAAATTTTAACGTAAGCACACTGCAATGTGATTTTAAATTGGCATAATAATTTGGATATTGTATAGCTTTAGATTACTACTATTGTATAACGGAAATAACATATCTTTTTTATAAGAATGAATTATTCGTCATAGTTATCTCAAATTACCTTTTGTGAAAAATAGCTGCTGGTAATTTTTTAATAAAAATAACTACTCGTCATAGTTATTTTTATTAAAAATTACCAAAGGTATTTTAAATTAAACTTTTAATTTTTCGAAATAGTGCACTGTAAAAATAATATCGCTTCATTTTAATACTATATTGTTTCTGATTTTTCTCAACTGCACTAAGCAATTTCGTTCTCTTAAAAATTCGGTTTTCAGTTTTCATGGAGATTTTCTTCCGGATATCCTTCCTAATCAAATTGTTAGAACCAGAAAATTAAAGAACATTAAGAGGCTTGGGAAAAAGAGAAAAACATACAATTTTATTTTGTTAGTTTTATATGATCAATCATACACAAACAGATCATTTTATTTGTTTAAAGAATGATATTATAGGTGATCGTCTTAACTGTTTTAGTCATTTTCTAATGATCCTTCTAAAATCATTATTAAACAGTTAAGATGGTTCCTTTTTCAGCGCGTAATCTTAAAGGGAAGCATTTTTACTATCCATTGATGTTTCACATTTTGAGTATTTTTGTAAAACTTTTTTAAAGTTCCAAACAGATAACTTCTTCAGAAATCGTACCGCTGCCTTATTAAACATTGGAAATAATTACATTTACAAGAATTTGTAGTATTTTTACAGCTATATCCATAATACCGGTAATTTAAGATTGATTTATTTAGAAGTATTATATTAAACAATAGTAATATTGATTTTAATTCTAAAATATAAAAAACAAAAATTTAATCAACATACATATAACATGTTTTAGTTTTCACATAAAATTAATGAATGCAAAATTATTGATTAAAAAAATAACTAATTTGCAAATTTCAGTCCGTATTTCATGCTGCTCTTTGATGCAACACAGTTTTGATTTTTTAAAATAATTTTCCTCTCTTTTTTCCAATGAAAATAACTTCAAATTTCACTTTCAATTAATACTTTATGAACTAATTGCTTACAAGATGAGTGCGCACATTCTTTAATTGATCACAATTAAATACGGCGACAATTTTTCTTTCAGTTAAGTTTGTTCTCCTTATTGCGCTGGTCATAAATGTTAAAGTATTATGAGCTTCGATTGACCTAAAAATGTTTTTTACTTCAAATATGAATGATGATGGTACCCTGCAATGTTTAATCCTTCTAATCATCTACCAATTAGTCTAACAAAAAGGGATGATATCCTCATTTAAAAATAAATTATTAAATTACGTGTCACTAACCCACATAATATTGGTGAATCGTAAAATCTCAACCCGGTACCATCGATTCTAATGTCGCAACCTGTGAATAAAACATTTAATGGATTTACAATCGAAATTTGAAACTGTTCTTCATCAGCATTGGATGCTATCGAATCCTTTTGTGAGATCTGAAACGTGATCGGAAGCTTATTATTGAATTTTAAAAGCGCTACGAAAGTTGTTTAAAAAGAGTCAAAATTCGTTCGTCGAATAATTTCAGAATTTAACTCTTCAACTTCAACAATTAATTATATTTAAACTAAGTTGCAAATCAAAAATTAACAAGCGAATGAGCAAATTCTGCAATATCTTGTTCCATTTTCGTTAAATTTTATCTGATTCAAAAAAAAAAACTGACTTTTTCGATAGATAATATGGGTTTCATGGGTTTAAGTATTTGCTGTGTACACAATCGCTCATTGGTGAGTGGAATTTTTGCAAATGCTGTTATAGAAATATTCCAATCCTCCGTAAACATATCACGAAAGTAATTTGATGGAACGCTGAATTCCATTTTTCGATCTAAAATAATTTGTAACATGCTAATTGAGGAATAAATTTCAGTTATATAAAACAGTCCTTCTTGTATACCTACTAAAAAGAAGCTAAAAATGTTTAATTATGAAGTAATTTTATTTAATTATATCTTTGATTTATTCTAAATAAGTCACTTGACATACTTTCTGCTTATCTATTTGAAGCGTGCGAAAAGCATGTTTAAACTTTAATTTTATCTATAATTTGTCCGTTTAATTAAAAATAATTAGCAAATAAATGAAATTATTTTCATATAACTGGCATACTTTGTTTTGGTTGTATGATAAGCATTTTCTCGAAAAAATAAATATGTGTAATAACCAATCCTGTATAACTTGTTAAATCAACCTGGATTTGAGCACTAACTGTTTGTTCAAATAGGGAATTATTTGTAACTGTTAGATATCCATTAATTGGTTCCTCAATACTGATCTATAAAATGCTTTTTGATGGCTGATAATTATATAGAATAATTAATAAATGTATTACATAAAAAAGCAAGCAATAAAAATGATAAAATTACAAAGCTTTGTAAAAAATTTTTGGACTAAAATTTGACTTATTTGATCAAAATATTGTATTTGCATAAAACTAATAACTGATAATATTATTACCGATTTAATAATAATACTATAGTGATAAAATTCCTTAAATTTAGCTTATTTGATCGAAGCACTTTTTATCTAAGAAATATAATTAATTATCCGCGCAACAGATCCTTCGAGCAGTACCGATCAGTTGGAAGGAATAAAATAACTATTAGCATCAGTAGGTGTTATTTCCTGGAAATCCTAACAAATTCTCAAAAATTCCCCTTTTTTTCAACCTTTCTGATAGAAACTAACATTTTGAAAATTGCTTAAATTTAATTCAATGTTGTTAGCTTCTCTGTCATGCAAAAATGATACACATTGAGTTTGATTGCTATCAGCTAATGAGGAATTCAAATTTGTCGATTGTTTATAATTCATCGTCACGTCAATGTCAGCTTCCATTGTGGTGATGATAAGATTATTTGATATCCTGAATAATTATCAATACAAACTGATAAAAGCAAAGCAATAAGCGCAGGTAATCAAGGTTATTGTAGATTCTTCAGTTTTTTAATTTTATCAAAGTAAACCAAGTAGAAAGTTTAAGAATTTTCGTTTTTTTTTTTTGTAAATTTTATATTTAATATTAAACAAAACAAAAAAAAGAAATGAACAAGCAGCTGGAAAATACGCCGAAGGATCAGTTATTTTAGTTTTTAATTTTTTATTTTTGAACATGAAAAATTACACGAAATTTTATCCTTCAGCATTTTTTTCTCTTTCTTTTTTTTTTCATTTTTTTTATCATTTTTCCCTTTTATACTTATCACTTAACTTATTAGTAATAGTGCTCACAATTAATATGATTAGATATAATCACTTTTTTTGTACTAATTAATAATGATGTAATTTTGTTATTCTGATGTTGTTTGA